TTGTTGTCGTCGTCGTCGTTGTTGCTGTTGTCAGCGGCGTTGGCGTTGGCGCTGGCGCCGGCGTTGGCGCTGTTGTTGTAGCGATTGGGGATTCTAGGACTTTTTCTTGTAGTGGTCAGTCATTCCTGGTCATAGCAGTCATAGGTAGTCATGCTCATGGACGCTCTCTCCCCACAACGTCGCCTTCCCCGCCAACTCCCTAAAGGCACGAGCGGACTAGATCACGGAAGCTCTGCAGGAACGGGTGTGGTTCGATCATGGACGTTCGGATGCACGATGCTCTCGGACTGGATGTGTGAGAACAAGCTTTTTGCTGGACAGTTTTTGGACCCGTCGGCTAAAACCTAGGACTAGGAGTAGGACTAGGTAAGGTAATGGCAGCGGTAGGGGTAGCTACAGGAGTCGCAAAAATAGCAGTATCTAGGAGTATGTCGCAGTAAGTCGTAGTAGCAGTAGTCATTGTTGTTGTGGTCGTCGTGGTAGCGCGGTGGTAGTGGTAATGGTGCAAATGGAAGTGGCAGGGGCAGGACCAGTGGCAGTGGCTGCGCAGTGGCGGTCGCAGTGGTAGTGGCAGAGGCAGTGGCAGAGGCAGCGGAAGCGGTACTGGTGGCTGACTGGTGGTACTGCAAGTGCGCGCCGAGCATCGAAATTCCACCCAGCCCACAGCCCATGAAGCATCCAAGCAAGCCGCAAATGGAGCCCAGTACCATCAACGAATTTGCCTCATCGGCAAGGACTTCCACAGCTGCGAATTACTTGACTTGCCGATAATCAACGTGAAGGCACCTCGTCGGGAATCATATTGACAGCCAAGAAGAAGGAAGCCTCATCACTTGTCGTGATGAACCCTATTCGAGACTCGTGTCGATTGCTGCGCTTGGCGCGGACAATGAATCACATTGAAACCGCCGCATGCCAGCATGGAAGCTGAAGCTGGAGCTTTACCGAGGTACTGCCAGGATGGAGAGGACTCCCTGACCAAGACCACTCAACGTCGTGTAGCCTGACCGGTGTCAGGCGCATGCGAGCTAGGACTGCCAAAGCATCGGTTTCAAAGGTCATCCGTGTTTTGTCAAATATGTTGTCACCGGTCACCCCTTCACCGGATTCTCAGACAGCGAGTGTGCTGTACTCATGTTTTGCAACTGCTACATCCTTGGTCTATTCTTTGTCGGGATGAGTGAGCACTGTTATCGATGCTGGTATAGCTCTCGGGAGAATGATGGATTTTTTCATGCCTCGTTAAGAGGCAGATGCTGTTTCTGAGTGCTCATTACGTTGTGTCCCTTAAGCTAACGAGCTGTGCTGCCTTGCTTGGTCATTCGTGACGAAGGTAGTGCAAGTGCCGGCTTTGCCGCTCGCGGCGGGGCACTCTCCCTAAAGAGAATGTTCTTTAGGCATGGCATAGCTTTTGATGCCAAACAAAATGTTTGTTCTCAAAGGCGGTCGCAAATCGTCCCTGCAAGACTGGATGCTGCGCTGTGAATGAAATGAATGCTCCAATCTCCGCTTCTCCGGAAATCCTGGCAATAGATATGAAACTGCTAAGCAGCCAATCGCCAGTCCCAGCAGACCAAAAGCAGGCCCTGCATATTGGATCCTGGGCTGGCACGCTTCAAAGATGCAAGCCACACACTAGTCTCTAACGCAAAGTTCACAGAAACTGCTCAACGAGACACTGCCGAGCTCGGCTAGATGCCATGACTCCAGAAACTTCGTCTTCCAACATGCGCGAGTTGGCCAAGTCAGGATAGGCGTGTCTGCACTGGAAGGGGTGCTTTAACTGACATGATATGATGCCGTAACGTTGCTGCATTGCTGCAGTCTGGATCTTTGGTCCTTACACGACTGCGGCAACCGGGTTGGTCGACGGGATACGTAGGACTGCATCATTTCAGGCTTTCGAGCTGTGGCTAGCACGCCTGGAGAGAATTCTTGCAGGATCTTGTGGGCCTCATGTGCACTCAAGGTTGAAGGCTCAGCAGCCTGTTGCTTTTAGGGGCATATGGGCATATGCAGTCCCTACACCGTGCCCACTAGGATGGTTTCAGTGGATACGCTCAGGCTCTTCCCTCCTTCCAGGCTTTTCTTTTTCTTTCTTTCTGCCGGGCTTAAGGGTCCTCTAGGGACCCTCAGGCTATCGGCCCGCCCGACCACCCGTTGTGTTCATGAGTGGCCGGCTTGGGCTCTCTCTCTCTCTCTCTCTCTCTGTTCTGTTCTGTTCTCCCGGGTACGAGGAGCTTGTCAGGCTCCCCGCGCCGATTGGCGCGCCCCTGTTTAAGGGCCAGACACGGATGCTCGGTGCAAGGAGAAAGACATGTACTTTCCTTCTTTCGCCAGGGACAAGAGGGTTGCCCCCCTTGCCTGTCTCTCTCTCTCTGTCTCCCTCTCTCTCTCTCTCTCTCTCTCTCGCTCGCTCTCTCTCTCTCACACACACACCCAGAGACAGACAAACACACACACACACAGCGCCCGTACGGACACGCCCATCTCGCCACAATTGACAGCCCTTGTTGGGCCAAGTGTCGCTTTCCCACACAAATGTCTGGATTCACATTGTTTGCACTCGGGTCGCCCCTGTTTACAAATCCATTTTCATGCTGAACATCAAACACCATCGTTGTCCGTTTCCATCAGCGAACACGTCTCGCTCGCTTGGGCCCCTGCGTTTGCCATTGCAATCGCCGACAACCCACTTCTGGTGCATTTCAGCGTGTTTTTTGAAAAATTCACCACGCCGGCAATATTGGATCATTAATTGAGCTACCAACTCTATTGACCCTAAATGTTAAAAATCCAAAACATTATTGGTGATTCAGTTTTCAGTTTTCCTACATTCGACTCACAAACAGCTAGGCAAAATTGCTGAAGCAACACTGCTAAACGTGTCAGCTAATGGTAAACGCCACTTGCAAGCAAGGGACTGGCCTGACTGGCCAGTTGTTGGAGGTCGGCATGATACAGTTGGTCGAAACCGAGCGCACTCACCGGCTTGCTCACCAACATCCCTCTAACCCAGTGCCCAGTACCCCCAACCCGCGGCGTCAAACCCGCCTACAGTGTCTCGGCCTCACGCTAAGCTGAGGCCAACTACGGAGACAGTAAGCAGAAGGAGGCAAAGGCGAAAACGTGCATGCGCCTGCGGTGCGCTGACCGGTGTGGTTGGGCGCATCTATCCGTCTAACTCGGGTGCCCTGTCAAGCGATTAACCTGCCCTGAATTCAAGGACTGTGTGTTCAGGAGCATTGTTTCCCATTGACTTGCGGTACAAGATCGAAAAGACTCGAGGATTCCTGCCAGGGCATTCCTAGAAGTATTGGCCCCCCCTTCAGGCATGTCCCTCTGCTTCTTCAGGTCAGCGTTCCCCGAGGCAGTTGTTTCACCACCACCATCGCCCTCCAAAGAGACGTTCGCTGCTGGCAGCCTTGCTTTTGCTGTTGTCGTGTCGCCATGCTCCACTAAATCCCTTGCCCACTTCCAGACAAGGCTTGTTGCAGAACAAGTCTTCGCTACAAAATTATCCCCCCTTTGCTGACAAAGATCACACCCTCACCAGCCACGGTGCAGATACTTGACCAAAAATATTTCTCTCTGGTCTGGGGTGTCCTCTTGGTGTCGACTAGCAAAGTCCAGCAAAGGGATCCGAGACCAGAATTTGCGCCTACTCCTTGCCCTTGCGTTACAAGCATTACATCGCATCCGGATTGATTCTTTGCCTTGTTTTGTTACACCCTCTGTTTTCGATGATGCCCTCATGGGTTGGCTATCGTCCTTGAGAGGACATGCTGGCAGAAATGAAGCTCGCGCCCCACGCTCGTTTCCACAGCCGCTGAGCAGTTCTTCTTCTACTTCGGTACAGTAGACTTCCGCTGGTAGACACAAGACTCCGGAAGACATAACTGAAGCTTCAAACCGGCTTGGCGTCGGCAGTTTCTGACCAAACAAGTTTAGTACGAGACAATTTCAGCATTAACAATCTCAGTCTTTCTTGGACGCCACGGTTTGGCTTGCGAACTGCCTTCAAAGAGTAAAAAGCTTTGGTGTCCTGCAGATGGATGACAGGCAGAGTCCATATGGACGGCTGTCTGCTCTGCCCGGAAACGAGGGCATGCTATGAATATGCAATCAACGTCATGGTGTGGAAGGAATGAACAGGTGACACTGGCGCAGCATCGCTTGCGGAGCTATCGACTTCTTCCTGCGCTGCTCCGCGCACGGCTTTGTCTAAGAGCTACATCTCTTGCAGCCTTTTCTTCAGACGCGTGCTGTCTGCGATCATGCCCGGGTTGCTTCTCATGTCCGGCCTCTCTCCGGTGTAGTAATTCTTGTGCGTCGTCACCTGACGATGCACCACAGAGGTCCAAGGGCCGCTGAGCCTTTGTGGTAAGATCGTGGCGAATCGTCTCTTGTGGACGCAGAACTTGTCTCGGAATTCGATGGTGGATGCATTCCTTGGCACACATGGTCGGAACAAGCAAGCAGCTTGCAGCAGAGCAAAAAAGTTAGCCAAAGATAGCCAAAGTACGGAACACCCAAACCGGCGCCGAATGAGCATCGGTAAACCCAGGAGGTGAAATCGTCTACATGCCAAAATTGTAGATATTTGCAGATACAATCCCCCACAGCACTCCTAGAGGTCAGCATGCCCGTCTTCTCAACACCAGTATACCTTTCCAAAACAAACGGCGCTTCGCTGTGTTCCCCAGCTTCTTGCGACTCGAAAATTAAGCCGATGCCGATGAGAATTCATCTCCCTGGCCCCCACGTGCCACTGCCACGATTTGGCTATCAACAGCACTTTGTTATTCTATGGCAGTAAATGTCGCGCACATAGGTTTCTCGCGAAAGCGACGGTCTCCGAATTAGGGACAGCGATCTCCCGCTCGCCAACGCTGCTGGCGTCGCAATCACCAGTGGCGGCCATTGCAAACACCGTTGCTTGCTGCTTCTACGGAAGCCAACAAGTCTCGAGCTCCTCGCACACTCAAGACTCGGAAATACATCCTTTCACTCTCTCTACCAAGACAGAGGAGAAAGCTTCGCCCCAAACGGCTCGGCTATACATGGGCATTCTTGCTTGCTTGCTTGCTTGCTCGACGTTTAGGGGTGGAGGTCTGCCCCGGCGTTGCGGGGTTTGTTGCCGGGAGTGTAAAAACCGAGTAAGCGTTGCAACACGCTGGAGTCCCCGTGCCACTGAACTCACGAGTTTGTTGGGCAATCTTATTGACCTTTACCTGCACTCTGTTGTGCTCCGCTCAAAAACAAAGAACCAGCAGGCCAGGAGGAACAAGCTTAAGTGACATAGGAGTTCTAGGTCACAGCGCTTCTAGGGAGAGCTCTGTGTGGCGGGGCTTCCTTCGGGGTGCGGGATGCAGTGGGGCAAGGTCTCACGAACATAATAGCGGGTAAGTTCGGCGGCTTGTTGCGTGGCATGCGTGCCGGCTTTGGTCGTGGCGTCTCCGTCGGGAGTGTTCTCGGCTGTCCCCGTGAGCCGGGTTTGTGTCAGGGCTCCTTGGCGGCTGCGTCTAGGGACCACGGGGTGTTGGTCTGCTGCGGGAGCAGGTGAAGGTTGAGCAAGTCAGTAAAATTGGCCTGGTCTGGGGCCTGCCGGGGAGGTCCCCGCAGCGAGGGATGCCATAGCCAATGTTCGACTTGGCGCCAGGTCATGTGAGCTGGCTTCTTCCATCCGCGGCGGATTTTGTTTGCCTTGTTGCGTGTCCTCTGATCCCCGGTCCCCGGGACATGGGCATTCCCTGTTCTGTTCTGTTCTCCGGTGTTCGAGGAGCGTGTCAAGCTCCCCGCGCCGA